TCAGTCAGTCAGTCAGTCAGTCATTTATTCATTTATTCTTGTAAAAGGAATATTGCTTTATAAAAGTGGTGCACGAGTGATGTTTTCATCTAGTTTATTTCCCGGAACTAGTTCCTTCTTTTTCCCCATCTCATATGATCCCGGGCTTTGTCGTGTACCATCAAGGTCGCGTGTATTAATTTCTAAATTTTATGCTTAGAATTTTTGACCTGCAATCATCTTCCAAGTATCCAAAGGATGTGTTTACGCCATATTCATGCGGATGCCTACCAGACGGCCATTAAATTTAACTTTTAACTTCTTAACTGGCTGGTAAACAATGTTAGAATAAATCTAACTTTCCCTTATTTCACCAGCTTTCCGGAAGTTATATGATTTATTCTGGTTGCCATTCCTACCAAACTCTTACTGCCGAAATGAAAGACACGTCAAGTCCATCACCCCTTGAAGATATGCCCGTGGATTACAAGTATTTTAAAGGTAGGTCTATCTTTTCCGCAGTCGTTCGTTCTCTCTCTGTTTTCTTGCTCTATCGCTCGACAAGAAATGCACGTTACAATAAGCAAAATGCTTATTGACCGGCCTGGTTTTAACCATGGGCAGACTAGCCTTAGGAAGAGGAGCTTTTGAAAGTGAAATTTCCTCCAAAGGAAATCTTCCCTTTTNAGATCCGTCAGCATTTGATCAGAGGCCTAGACCGGTCACCCTACCGGTAATTAAAGTAACGTTCTAAAAACGTCTCTGAGGCCTTGTCCGCACTACGCCGGTGAAATTGGATAACCCAGCTTTATTTCTACGGTTAGGTCTACCGTCCACACTAATCCGTCTCGAAAACTGAGCTTTTCGAAAACGCTCTTCAAACCGGAGGAATTTGAAAACGCCGGCTTTTCGTTTTCGCGTGGACGGAGAACATTTTCAAAAGGGAACCTTTCGAAAACGATGTAGTCACGCCGATAATCACGTGATTTCCCTGCCCGCGGTTTCCTAAAATAAAAAATCCAAAATGACCGGTGATTGTTGCGTTCTTAAATTCCTCCGCGGTAGAGTGGATGGATAACATTTGATGCGTTTTCAGAGCCGGTAAAACCTCCGTTTTCAAACTCCTCCGCCGTAATTTGGACGAGGCCTATGAAAGAACCAAATAAATAATACACGCTTTCGAAAGCAGAGTAAGTACCAGAATGTTCCGGTACGTAAGTAAGTCGCGGCTGAATGACTTCCGGTTCTAGACTGTTGTAGAGGCAGTCCTGAAAGTTTACTGAGGCTCTTTGTTCGTTTTCCTCGTAGATGCAGGTGCAGCCTCCACCTTATGCAAAGCTCCAAGAAGTTACGGCAGAATGAAACTGTCAACGAGGAAAAACGTCCGGTTGCTGCTTTTTTCGTTTTTTGAGGGGTTGTTTTAGCATACTTTAATACCACGTGTATTATATTCTTCCTCGTTCCCAGGCCCCATTGGATTTCGGCGGTAAAGAGCGAGGAAACAGGCAGCTTGGGGCGAGAGAGACTTGTGGTCGGGAGGAGTGACGCCTGGGAACGAATCAGGAAGTACGTTAATCACATCAAGAACAAACGAACTCCTGCGCAATTTATATGTAAGCATTCACTGATGCAGATGTAGAATAACAAAATAAAAAGCACACTGAGTTAATTTTTGCTGCCCTTGTCACTGAGTGTACAGATACTTTTTTCAGACGCATTTACTTTTTAAACAAAACAGCAACCTCGTTGTTCGACTCTTCGTTTCTTACTGCGCAAGAAACAAGCGACTCCGCCATTATAGACTCGATTTTGATTGGTATTAAAAACGATGGAAATGAACGGAAGTAAACCACTAGCATTTCTGGGGAAACGAAACCTAAACAAGCAGAATCGCTAAACACTTTTGTCGCCGATTGTTATCAGGAAAGCAACACGCTCGACCTAAAGAGACCAGGAATACTCCCTTTACAGAAGCTCAGCCACGGTATTTTAGAGTTATTTTGGCCAGGCACAAAATCACATTTAAATTACAGGAAACTTGAAAATAGCAGATTAACAAGATAGAAAAACACCAGAGAAATAATAATAAACCACAAAGGAAGATGGATGGTTTAGGATGGAGAAGATTAACACGGATTACAAACGAAGAACCTGAAAAATTCAGCCTTAACTTTTCAAGATGCGCACACCGCAGGAATGGATTTGACCATTTTGATCTGAAACAGGGAATGACATTGTCAACTTTGATCAGCAGCAACTACATATTTTTAGACGAAACGTTCAGTTTTCAGTCCGTTTTTATATATTTTAGGCCACATGGAGAGCAAACCAAGTCATGGTATTTTAAAAATGTCTCCAGTTGAAAAGCTCGATTTTGGGGGGGGTTGGAGCTACGTCACATGGAATGTACAACTGTCAAGTTATATGATGTTTAAAGTCATTGAAGGAAACTTGAAACTAATATCTTGCCTAATAAGGTGGAAAACAACGAAGAAATAATAACAAACCGAAAAGTAACAGAGTTCGGTCAAATTAGGGAAGACTGAGGTGGACTGACAACGACAAAATTTAAAAAAATACACATATTTCCAACAGGCATCGCTCCGTTACGTTGCCTATGAACTTTTACGCATGACACGGTCTCATGCATGTAATTTGGCCAATCAGTGACCAGCATTTCCAATCGTCAGTTTGGCGCCGAATTTGACGGGGCTTCCATTTTACTTCATTTAAATGGGGTGCCTTTGTCGTATATGGCGCACGTCATGGACAACACGTTATGAAGTGTTTCTATGGTGATGGCCACTGTTGCTAAGGTAACGTATTAGTCCACGCTAATAATTCGTCAACCTCCTGATCATGGGGTTCCAGGTCCCTCGCAGTTGTAATTGACGGCGAAGGGGCATTGGTTATCGTTCTCGGCGTTGGAGAATCCGTACTTGACAACCCTGCTAAAGTAGGTAAGGAAGAAATGCAAAAAGAGGTAAGTGTCAACACAATAAAAATGCACAGTGTTACAGTATCGAAAGGAGACAACTGCAACCTTGTGTAAGGAATGTGTAAGGAGTTGTTTTGAAAATGTGATTCGGACGCTTGCACTTGGAGATCATGAAAAATTCACCAATTCATTGTATTTGAAAATTCTTGGTATAGTCTGATAGCCAGCTCTGTAATCTTTAATTTGATATAGGGATTTAGGTATCTACAGTTTAAACCGAACGCGCTATATCGTTTGGACGAGAAACACCTCTAAAGGTATACGGTAACCTTAACAGTGATAAATCAGCACAACTTTTATAATTAGACTGATGTAGTTGCGCGTGCTGAACTTCTGATATTGTTGTTTGCTGTTGTGCCTTATAAAAGCAAACAGAGCCTGTTACCTTGCTGCTTAGGAAGATAAATCTGTTTCAGCAACTGAATCTTAGTCGACTTCAGTTCGGCCAGATCTTGTCCAGCCATTCCAGTGTCAAACTTCCCATACATGATGGCATTGTGCTCTGTGAGCTGTTTGTGAATCTCTTCCTGCAGCTCCTGCTGGGGAAGGCCAAAGTGTGTGGCTTGTAATTTAGAATCAGCCCTAAGAACTTCACTCAAAGGATTACTTGAGTCCGGGACTGGCTTGGTTGTGGCAATTCCACTCCACATGGCGTGGTAGTCGTCAAAAGATACTTTTCCAAGTTTAACGGTCTTCTTTTTCTCGTTTAGAGTTCTTTCTGTTGGTCCTGGTTCTATTGGCAAGATTCGAGTCAAATCAATGTCCTCTGCTGTGTGGGGTTTAAGTCCAGCTGGAAAATTGGAGCCAAAAAATACATGAAGAGTCAATAAATTGCGCTTTTGAGTCACTCCAGCAGTAAATTTTGCAGTGGGATTTTACAATGGTGTTATCAAATCCAATTTTGGGAGTTATTTCTGTGTACATTCAATAATCATTCTCCATATATGTGGAGTAGATGTCAAGAACTGAATAAAGAGTGCCAAACTTGATTAACACTGATTAACAAATCAGCTAGCAAATCAAACGACTTCATCTGTTTTAATAATTACGTACAATGCAGCTCAGATATACCCGAACCAATATACAGTATATATACCCTTATGTTATCAAATTTTATTTTCGTAAATAATTGTATTGTAGCATAAGTTAATTGTATTGTAGTAGATAGTAGGTCCACGTCAGCTGTCAGCTGTCATTTCTGTAACAACCAACTTATCAAATAAAGTATTTAGGTACAGCGTATGTATTTCCAACTATTTTCACTTTTAGACCTCCTAGTACAGTTATAACTGTTTTAGAAGTAGTCTATTAATGCATTACACCATAAAGTCAAAACAAACTTGAAGCAATGAGAAGGATCGTTGATACAATATTTACTCTTCTACAGGGGTAATAAAAAGTAAGTAAGTAAGTAGTGTGGTCTAAAACACGTAGCTGATGCTCATTACAGTATCGTATAGCCCTTATACTTAATTATTCCTGCTTGGTACGGTTTGGCAGAATAAGAGGTGATTTAGGTCAACCCAAGGTTCATTTGTGAGATGCAGTCAAACTTAAATGCATGTACTGTACCACTAATGAGGTGACAAGACAATACTGATTTGACAAGTAGACTGATGCATGTGCTTCATATGTCAAACTAATCTGGGCGAAATGGCTCACCTTCCACTCTCTTACTGGCCAGAACACAATCCAACACAGTCTGCCTGAAGCTGCTGGGCGAGGATGCAAATATTCTGGCAGCACTAGGGTTTATGGCATTTTCAAGAACTGGATTTACCAGCAACATCTGAATAAGGAAGTGTCAGTAGACAGTAAGTCCAGACCTAAAAGTGTTGATTCTCCTTACTGACTGCCATAAATTTCTTCAGAAATATGTTTTGAGAATTTGGTGCTCAGTCAAGACAATAGTTCCCTAGTCAGTGATTTTCTTTATTCTCTGCTTGACACTGTTTCAATAATGTAAGGAAAAATCTGGCACCAGGAAAAAACTGGGGAAAAACAAAGAAAAAGTAGTGTCTGCTTGTAAATTGTACCAGTAGTCCTGCAGCTGACCTTCAATTTCCTAGTCAGACAAGAGTTATGACACCTAGACTGCTTTTTGCCTTAGGATGCACAGAGCATTTACTCTCACTGGTGAATGCAATTAGACACAAAAAAAAATTGGGGCTTGAAGAGGTTTGAGCAAGAAATGTCTTTCTTCAAGTGCATGCTAAAACTGTTGCCTCATTCCAATCCTTTCCTGTCTTGAACCGTTGCCCCCCACCACCCTACCCCTTCACCTCCTGTACTTGCCCTCCTGCTTTCAACGGAAAAACCAACTGCAATCAGTCTATTTATACCTGAATGCTTAGTAGCATGTATGAAATTGAATAAAACTCTTTCCAGCAACTTAAATCGTCTAAAAAGTCAGCACAGACTTGCCCTGTGTCTGGATCAACTGATAAACGGAACAAAAAAAAAAAACAGACAAATTAGCATATTTACTGTCCACACAAAGGCCAGTGTAATAGTAACTACCTATATTATAGGGCCTAAGACATGAGCGGGCAATATGAACTGAATCTTGCCTGTCATTGGCTACCTGAGTGGATAACATGTTGCTTACCCGCTCGGGATTACATGCTGTGTCCCACAAGGAAATAGTTTTCTTTTTTCATAAAATAAATCCTTTATTGGGCAAGCTTGTTCGATCAAGATGGCTATTTTTTAAAGCCTATGGACCTCAACTCTGTTTCTGTCCATAAACACACAAAAAAAGAACTTGGCCAAAACCCAGCCATCTTGACCTCACCCTTGATCAATAACCCATACATAATTAGGACAATGCACTTCCAACAGTTTTAAACATTATATATTACAAATGTATACCAAAAACACAAACCAATTTAACAAGGACTCATAACAATTGAAGAAGGAACTAACCATTCGGATGGAAGGGAATTGTGTGAAAGAATACTCTTGGTGGTCGGCCATTGTAATACTCGCCAAACTGGAGATACAACTTGAAAACACCTCCTGACGATGCAACAAAGAAAATTTGTTGTGATAAGAGGTAGCAGAACATTTAAACAGAAGCTACATGTAATTACAAGATCTTTTTTATTGACATCCTAATAATAATTATTAACTGAGTGCCAGACCAAGCACAGCACTGTCAAAATAACAGAGGCAAATATTTTACCACCTTACCTCAGTTCTAACTTTGTCAATATGTTTATCATATCATCCTCACTGAAAACGTCAAATAAGGTAAATAAGGTAGCAAACAGTATGGAGAAATAATATTCCCATCTCATTTTCTTACAGCATGTATGCCTTAATAAAGACATCACACCAACCTTCCCACATTGTGTCCTTTGGGCCCTTTATGGCACCTTCCCAGGTAAACATGTCATCCTCATTTAACGGCTTTGCCTGTATGCCCTGAAAAGGTCACATACTGCTGTATTTTAACAATAACAAATTAAACAAATTATGTTATCCATTTATGACTAGATCATAAACAATGCTTGTGGGTCTTATTGTAAGAGAAACTTTATTCATAAAAACCATGGCACACAAATCTGGACTAGTAAATTAAACCAAAAATACACCAGTTAAACAACACATTTGTCTTTTTCCCCCTTATTGTCTATTTTGATTGTGCGCAAAACATATGTATAGTGGAAAATATGAAAGCATCGGGAACGTTTTGGATTCAGTCCTTGCAAAATGTTGGCAGGTCATTCTGCATCTTTATTATCGTCATCATTATAATCATCATTAAAACCCTCGATCTCCACAAGGGGAACAGCTAAGTGCACTTACAGAGCGACCTAAGAAATAAATTCATTACTTCACAGACATTATTAGTCCCACAACTAAGTAAAAGTTATATTACTTGGAATGGTGACGCCTCAAGACAATCTATTTATACATAGCCTCATAGAACACAGTCAGGATATACAAATAAACATATCTATCAGATGCGATACATTACATGTGCACGACATTACATTCACAGATCGATGTCCAAACCGCATCAGATGTAAGATTTACTCAGCTAGTGTTAAACGATACTAATGAACAGCTACGTAGATTGTGTCAATATTTACACTAGAGATGATAAACACAGCTTACCCAAGGAAGTTCTTCTTTTTGCAGCTTGAACCATTCTTTTTCAAGCAGCATGTAAGCCCTTGAATGCATCCTAGATCCCTCTCAAAGTAACTATACAGCGAAATATAAGCTTAAGCCGAGCTTCGAAATACTCTAGATAGTGATTCGCCTTCGAACAAAAATTATCTCCAACGTCATGCCCACAATATGCAACTTACTCTCAAAGAAGCACCAGTTTAGGTTTATCTATAGGACAGAGTAACCATCTTAGCTAACTTTATACTCGTTTGCTCCTTTCAAATTGTATATTTTTGTTCCACCGTCCGCCATGTTAAATCGACTTTCGACAGCGTGGTTGCATAGCAACACTAATTATTTCCAATAGTGCCCAGTGCCCGGTTGGTTTGTTATAAAATTCATAACAACTTTTTCCCCATGTTTTTTGTTTTGTTTTTTTTTTTTAGCTCAAAACTGGTTTTGTATACCCTGGTTTTTGTGTATTCTTCGATTTGCGATGCCCATTTTTTCCCTTTCGAATGAGATCATGAGTACTGCAAAGTTTTCCAATTTTTCGTCATTAGGCTTGCATTCCAAGCCTTTCGGCACCTTATCTTAGAAAAGGTCACAAACTCACGCTTTCTAAGCGTTCAGTTTCATAATTTTAAAACTGAGTTCTTGTTTTGCACAGAACTGTTTACTAGAGCTTGTTGTAGACTCTTACAGCCGAGGATAGTCTTGCAGTAACACAGAAAAATATGGAAATCGATGTGACAGGTATTTTGTACAAAATCCATTCACCATTTAGTCCTTTATGCAAATTTTGTTATAGTTTAACAAATGAGCTCTTGAGCAAACACACCACTGTCATGTTTGCTCAATTCGACCAATGAAATATTTTGGCGTGTTTACATACAGCTGAATGGTTATTCAAATGGTCAAATTCAACTTTTTACCTTAGAAACGAACATAAACAGACAGTTATACGGCTCGGTTTAGATCTCAACGTCCCGGAAAGGAGTTCGTGAAAGCAGCTTAGAAATGTCCTCCGATGAAGAAAGTGTTGAGGACGAGGGAGCACCTTATCTTGGGGAATACGAAGGAGACAGAAATGAAGACGAGGAGCGGCATGGTAGTGGCAAAGCTAAATTGCCGAATGGTGATATATATGAGGGAGAATATTCACGTGGAAAGCGGCATGGACAAGGAACTTACAAGTAAGAAAACTCTCTCTATATATAGGTTCCGTTTATTTTTCCATTCTAAAGCAAATGGCAAAACTCTACCCCCTCCAAACCGAAAATTTGTTTGAAGTTTGCATTTATGCTTTCATCTGCCCGACGAGGGTCGCCGCATGTAGCTTCATAGAACTAATAGAACTAAGAAAACGTTTTGCATGCGGTAGTAGACTGCTCATGAATAGTCTGAAAAGCTTTTAACTAAAACTACAAGGCTTCGGTCTTGACTGGCGGAGTTTTCTTTTAGCATTCTGCCTAAGAATTAAACCTGGATTTGTCCCGGTCCAATACTGTGCGTCTCTCTATGCACAGACAGACGAGAGCAAAATAAACAGAGAAGAAACTTTCTCTCTAAGGAATGCAGTCAACTCTTGAAAAGAACTCCGTTGATAGCATAATAGTAATAATAATAACAGCTGTAGCTGTAATAAAACATTCTCAAATTACGCTTGTTTTCTAAAATTTTTTAAGACTTCTGATGGTTTCTGGTAACTCTTACAAAGAGAGAGAATCTCGGGGATTTGTCTCTGTTTCTTGGTTATTGTAGGCACTTTTATCTTTATTTTAAACTCTAATGTTTGGTTCCAGGTTTCAAAGCGGAGGAAAGTATACCGGAAGTTACATCAATGGGATAAAACACGGCGAAGGGGCATTTTTCTACCCCGATGGCTCCAAATACGAAGGGTACTGGTTAAACGACGTCCGTCATGGCCGTGGAAAATACACCTACCCGAATGGGGACATTTACGAGGGGGAATGGGCCGACAACCAACGCCACGGCCAAGGGGTGTACAGCTATGCGGCCACCGGGTCTAAATACAGGGGGATGTGGGTGCAGGGGAAAATGGAGGAGGCCGGAGAGCTCATTCACGCCAATCACCGTTATGTGGGAGGTTTTCAGCAAGATAAACCCAAAGGAAAGGGCAAATATGTGTTTGATAACGGATGCGAGATGCTAGGAAGGTATGAGCTGGTAGAAGTTGTAATAGAGCCTGAAACAGAAGAGGAGGATTCCGTGATTGTGGTGGAACCGAAGTGGAAGATAGAGGAACTGGTATCGCTGGAATAAGTTCAGAACTAAAAGCACGTTTTATATGACCTTTCATGAAAATATGACAAGAGCTCTTTTATCAGTGTCATTTTCGCAGTCTTAATCTTTTCACTCCCAAGAGTTCATTTTAAAAAATTAGAAAAATTTGTTGCAACTTAAAAAAAAACAAACAATGGCCACACGAACGTACCGCTTAACAGCTTTCATTTAGATTGTTGTAATACAAACTAGAGTTTCAAGTACAGACGTAAAAGTTAGAACCGCCTTGTATACAGGATAATAAACAGTACCACATGAAAGTACTGCTCAAAAGCTTTCATTTGAATTGAATAGTCACACACTGTGTTTTTTTAGGATCACCTTTTAACAGCCTTTACGGCATAACAAACAGTACCTCATGCCAGAATTGTTCAGTAGATTTAATTCGTATGCTCAAAAGCTGCGGCATCATACTCAGACTTAATGAAAGCACACCATCTAGATTTACTACAGAAATATGAAACTGTTCTTATCAGGAATGATCACACCACACTGTTTATTTACGACTGGCGATGAAACGTGAAATCTCCTTACTCTGTACAATACATTTCATTCAAATTTAGTTCTGAGAATTTCTTAGTTCACTAGATCACGACAATATCGGTAGCTGAATAAAGTACTTTTTAATTCTTAATCTTACTTTCTTAGTTAAACCCGGATTATTAGTAGCGCTTGCCAATTTTCCTGAAGCCATATTTGTTTAAACATGTACATGGGCAGTGCCTCTTCTGGGTCGACACATTAGACGTACTGACGAAGGGTTACAAGACATATAATCATAAAATATAACATACAGACGAAACTAAATGACTGATTTATTAAAATACGAGGGAGTGTATACACAAGTTGTTGCGTGTAGTATCGCTGGAATACGTCTCGACCTAAATTTACACTTTTACCACTTAACTCAATTTACTGCCAAAGAAATGTCATTCTTTCGTAAACGTTAACTGACATTGGAAAGTTTAGTTACATTATCTGCCAGCTTAGTTCATATTATCATGTTATTTTTACAACGAGATATTTTAAGGGATCAGCTATATGATATAAATTAAGTTGACACTCAGGTATCCAGCTAAGCACGGCCCTTAGACTAAATATGCATGTGGTCCTAATTAGCGGGAGTACATTGTCTGTTCAAATGAAAAACAAATATTTTAATTAACGATCAAATAAAGTCAACAAAGTTCAACAAAGTATTGTTCAATAATTACAGAAGTTTTCATCGCCGTCTGACTCGTCTGTGCGAGTTCCATTCCAGTTTAAGTACCTATTCTTAACTGATGTTTCAAACTCGTAAAAAAATGCGCCATGATACAAAACTATTCGAACAGTGTGCTCAGCTAGTATTTTATACTAAGTTACGACATCGCTAAACGTGGGAGATTTCTCTTATCTGACGACTATCATCAGAGTTTTCAGCGTAAAAGTATTTTACTTTCCCTTCAGACATTGTAAAGCGTGTTGTGTACATTTTTCCATCCAGGTCAAGGGTGATGAGTTGTGCGGCAAAGCCAGTGGAATTTTCTTCGGCTTCGTCCTCAATTTTACCTTGTTGTGTTTCTTGGTGTACCCGTTTGCAGCCAAGAGCTATCGCCAATATAGCTCCCGAACAGAATGTAGCGATGCCCGTAATAATAAACTTGTTAGCTCCTTCGCCTTGAGTTGCACCCACCACAATCAACAAAACTCCCAGACTCATTAGAGTTACGTAAACTGCGCCGAGGACTTTGTACCAAACAGAGACTTCTTGGTCCTTCTGTCGAGTCCAGGGACAAAACAGCTGATAAGGGGATTCTGGATATCGATCAAATGGGGCTTTAGTGAGGTCCATTTTGTTTTAAGGTGAACTGCAGTAACTGGCACAGATAAAGTGCTGAAGTCGTCCCGCTCTGGCTGTACTGAAATAAGAGTGTTTGTTCGGCTAGAGGTTCGCGTTTGTGCAGAATCTTGGCAAAAAATCAGGTCACCGCTTGTTGAATCATATAATGCCGTGGAAATTGATTCTAGCCTGCTCTTTAGTTCAAATAACAGCACCAGGTTAGTTCAGTTCAAATTCGCTTGGGCTTGTAAAAAAATAGTTGGAAATACTGAACGCGACTATCCTATTTTGTTCTGTCAGGGACAACACTGCCCTTAGCATCCGGCGTAACTACAACAGCACTGTTCGGCTTAGCGGTGGACCATTCGACTTTTGAGGGGGAGCTAGTAGGTAATTTGGTATAGGCAAGAGTTTTCTTTTTTCTTTTTTTTTTTTAGCCTTTCATGCACTAGGATTTTTTTTTTTGTTTCGGGGAGTGTGTATGCATGATATTTTTTTCTCGTGTAACACGCTTTTTTCGGCTCAACGAACATGCATTAACGTTTATCTCGGTAGTGGTCGTGTGCATGAATTTGTTTAGCCCCCCTTCAGAAAGTCATATGGTCCAGCCCTTACATCGCTTCAATTTCATCCTATATCGCTGAGGCTAAAAAGGAATAAAGCCTCAATTGTGAACCAGGCTTAACTATAAATCATTGATGATCATGAACAACTCTTCTGGACATAACAGGTTACCCTGGCAGCAGTATATTTATATCTCTTGCATGCAATCCAAACTTGTCTTCGGTTTACCACATTTGACCTTTTGTACTGTTTATACTCAGTATACTGATCGATTTTCTACTTCAGTGATGTTTTATAATGAAAGCTGTCAAGCCCGAAAGGGCAATACCGAGCAATATACGAATGGCGCCTTCGAAGTGAAAGAGAGTTCGATTTACTCCGGCAGTTTGACCATTCGAACTTGGTGGTGGTGTTTCTTTTTGCAAAATATGGGTCTCGTTTCCTTAAGGTAACCCCGAAATACGAAACCCGTCACAAAGTCTCGTGATGTTTGGCGTAGTAAGCGGTTGAGAAGGATAACCGGAAATCAGTGACGTATGCAAAATATGAGAACTTTGTTATGAACAAGCTTTTGGCGCCATATTCAACGTCTTCCCTCGAGTGGTCGGACGTAGAAATGACGAAGAGGATAAAGAAGTAGAAAAAATGGACCAAAGAACTGAACGTTGTTCTAAAAGCTTGCTCGGAAGTTGATTATTCTGAATGCATGGTTCGTTTTAAACCTTGCGTGACCTGGGTGGCTAGAAGCTACTGCTGGTACACAAGTATTTTCTTTTCTTGTGATGTTCTGGTCAGTACTGAACCACGAGAAAATGGCTATTTCAGTACTGAAGAGTAATTCTTTTCCTTTGTATTGATACGTGGGAGTCATGTTCATGTTTATAGCGAGGCAATTGTGACTGGAGCTGTCCGTGTTCGTCTTTTCAGATGCTCGCTTGATTCCAAAGAGCTACTTCATACAAATGCCGAGTCAAGAAGGCTAAGAAAGGTAAGCGAAATTTCAGCGGAAGATGTATATCTACCAGGGTGTTGCTATCAAAATGTCATCGTTTACTATTTGAGTCTCCAAACGTTCGATCGTATATCGGTAAAATTAAGACTAGATGTAATTTTCGATCGCGGAAAAATCAGTAAACAGAATCGAAACAGAAATGTTTCGAAATATTGATGTTGCACGCAACATCAGCGGTATTCGTGCTTTGGAGGAGAAATGCCATAAGCTACAATTCATAGTGCCCCAATTATTTGATCCAAAAGTATCTAACAGAATGAAATTGCGTTGTTAGTTGCAAGATAAATCTCAAACATATTTGACTCATCAAAAATCCAGAACTGAATATGTAATTAGTATGCAGCGGGAAAATATGTTGTTGTAGCGCAGGTATATTAGCTTAAATATTCTTCGACTACTCTGCAGCACGCACTATTTCCCCTCAACCGAGTGGACCGGTCGACATGAAGAAGGGAAGACAGAAGAAACAGAATGAAGAAAGGGACTGAATGTCGAGAATGCTGATGAAAAAGGTAAGACGAAGAGTTATTACAAGAGCTATTTATCCGATGCATTTGTATTTTAGTCGTAATCTGAATTTCGCACGACTTGAGGGACGGTAAGCTTATTTGTTCGGCCCTCGTTAGTAAAAGCTGAATTAACGGCATTTTTCTTCGCTTTTATGGAACTTTAATTGGTATCATGCTTGTATTGAAAAAAAAAGGTTCGCTTTCCAGTTGGGACTCCATCAGTTTGCGACGAACTCTTGTCAGGCCTAGTTCAGACGTCGTGCTTCTGCCGTGCCGAACTAAATTGCAATTTGGTTCGACTGTAGCACGGCAGGAAATCAACTCTGATTTAGACGTCGTGCCAGAGTCGAATCGAATCCAGGGTTTACTGAAGCCTCGTAACAATTCTCCTCCTAACTCCCCGAGGGAACGAAATCTCGCCAAAGCACATTGACATAATTTATGAATTTAGTTTGGCGCGACAGAAGCACGACGTTTGAATCGCTGTCGTGCCAGAGTCGTGTAGCACGGCAGAGCTTGTCGAACTTAATTGCTTGCCGAACTTAATTCAAAAGTTTGATTCAGACACCGTGCTTCTGCCGTGCTTTTGTCGAACTTAATTCCTGAATTTAGTTCAGCACGGCAGAAGCACGACGTCTGAACTGGGCCTCAGATGCTCGCTTGATTCCAAACGACAGACTCGTTTACCGATGCTGACCGTCTATAACGCCTGATCGTGAAAGACCTCAAGGTAAGCGAAGTTTCTGCGAGAAACGTATCTATGAAAGCATAATTTTGTGAAATATCTGCGTTTGAATGTTTCATCCAGTATGAGTTTGATCGTCACGGTGTCAAGGTCGAATTAAACTTGGAATTCACAAAATAAGTCTGTTGAATATAAATCGAGATCTCTATTTGAATAGTCGCTGGTTCGCTTGTGTTTGTTATTTGTATCTTTACTGACTGTAATATCCCGGTTTCTGTAGCATGAAGCGACTAGGAGTATTTCTACTCCCCCCAGGATGGGATGCTAGTCCATCGCAGGGTTACCCCCAGCATTAAGNTCTTGCCCAAGAACACAACACAATGTCCCCGGCCAGGGCTCGAACCCGGACCGCTCGATCCGGAGACGAGCGCACTAACCATGAGGCCACCGCGCACTGAATAGCAGACGGAAATAGGCCCGCGAATATAACTATTTCTGTTGACTAACAATGTTAAAAACGTGATTGGAAATGTACTTTTCCAAGGTAACACTTGATTGGTGGATAAGTTAAGAAAATCAGCACCCTATCACGTGCACGGCACATATCACCTGGACCGGAAATATGACGCAACACACTGGAGCTCTTGTGATTGGTTGATTTTTAGAGATAGGTTTGAGCGCCAACTTCAAATCTTTATTTGCCATCTCCTCTTCTTGAAAGCAGGACGTGAAGAAGATTGAGACAAAGAAAGCGAAGCCTGAAGTCTCCTACTTGATCGCAACGTCCACGGGAAGGTAAGGGTTAGATGCATTGTATTTCTGTCTCGCAATTATGTAAGTTTTGCTTGACCTTAGAGTCGCGAATTCAGGAATATCTCCTACTAAAGTGATTCACGATTGCGTCTCACGACAGTTTCTTTAGAAACTAAATCATTTCGCAGGAAAATTTAGTGTAAAATAATACGTGAAATCCTCGGTCTCCCATTTGTTTTGTTTCGACGTAATTATTCGAACTTTTCGGACTTAATTATTCGAACGTGTGTCGACAACGTGACCGGAAATGACAACAATAACCGCGTTTCCCGCCATTTTTTTGTCACACGCTGTTTTTGTTCTCATTTCCGGTCACGTTGTCGATGCACGTGCCTAGTAATAGTAAAGTATTATTAGGTACGTGTATCGACAACGTGACCGGAAATATTACGTAGCACATGAGAATACGTTGAGTAGCCATTTACTCGGGGGTGACGAGTAGTGTTATTACTCGTTTATATTATGACTGAGAAAATCATGAAAACGGGCACAAAATATAAAATATAAAAATTGGCCTGCTCTCAGCCAATCACAATGAAGTAATTTTCTCATTTAAATAATAAGTAATAGTAATTAGACCGAGTGGAGTGCAATTTAGGCAGTAAGCGCATGCTTTCTCATCCAACATAGCACAATGTCACTTAGCTCCCTCTTGCCTGACAAATTTATAAGTTACTGCGAGTAAACTGGCAATCCGAAAGCAAAATTGAGAAAAAATAGTTGTGAAGTTTTACGGAAATGAACGCCCAGTTTGATTATAAATCTTCTATTTGCTCAAAGATCACTGTGGAACCAAACTCACGAAGACAGCCAGTTTAGATAGCGACAAAGACAGAAAAGGTAAGGACATACGTTTACTCCAAAGGCTTTTTATTTGCGGTGTAGCTTATTGCTGGCAATCGCTTGATTTCAAAAAATATTTGGGTTTAGTGCTGTATTTTATAATGAGTGAGTTTTTTTTTTTTTTTTCGAGAGGAGCAGCATTATTTTTCGGACGGCTTTCTATCTAAATTGTATGGTAAATTAGATTTGCTTGCTTTTGGCCGTTTAGGTTTTGACTAATTGGGCAGAGAAACAATCAGTCGATTCATGTTAAGAACAATTCTTACACGGGTTTTCCACCGACCAAGGGATCATTCATGATATGGCTTGGGGGCCGAATGATCTCTCCCCCTTTGGTGTTGGTGAGAACCCAAAACGAATTGTCCTTATCAGCAAACTTTATGGCTGTGGTATTCAGCTGCGCTTCTAGAAAGTAAGTCGATGTAACAGGTAAGAGATCTTCCGAGAATGCTCTTCTCTCTAGGGTACACCCGTAGATTATATTGAAAATCTATATCAGATAATTGCGAAAATTTTACCCAGCGCATTTCTCGTATGTGTATGATATAATATGGTAAACGGGTTGAACCCCGAAGTATCAAAAGTTCGTTTAATGTGATTGTCTGGGTAAGAGTAGTTCTGAAAAGCGCTGTTGTTGGTGACTGACGTTTCGACAACCTGAGTGGAAATCATCCTCAGAGTCAAGTGAATAGTGTTGGTCAGTCGATGATGTAATGTTTCTCAAGAGTCATTGGTCAGTTTCAATCTATCTATTGTTTTCAAATTGGTCAGTTTTTGACCCGTCTATTGTCAGTCAAATTGAGTCGGTGTGTTGGAAGTCCGCTTGTCGGTTTCCTTTCCGTCGTGGATAAGTCGTTTGTAAGGCGCCGGTAGTTGTTGTTAAGAAGTGTTTGTTCCACAATCCCAGACAAAAGAGTTGCGACACGAACCAAGTTCTCCCCTCCCCCCACTTTCAATGTTGATAATCAGTGATTTTTCCCTTTTGTATTTTCCAACATTGATTAGGGGGGAAGGGGGATACGTGATACAGCTCAAGTGTCCCAACTACTTTTGGCCGGGATTGTGGGTTAGTGTACGAGCTTTCCAGAGTCAGTCGTTCAAAATAGTTTGTACTGTAGGGTAAGCATTGAGCAAAGTCCCAGTCAATGTTGTGGTTTGTCAGTTGATGACTGATGTACAGCGATGTGATTGTTGGCATCACCATTTCTCGTGGCTCGTTTGTGTTCAGTCAGTCTCGTGTTAAGGTTTCTGCCAGTCTCACCAATGTAAGAAGCCTGGCAGTGGGAGCATTTGATCCTGTAAACTGCTCCCTGTTGTTGGGTTCGTCCCTGTCTTTAACGAAGTGGTCGGTAAGTGTCGTAAAGTAGTTGTAGGTTTTCTAAAAGCGCTAAAGCAGCAATTTTCCAAAATTGCGAAAGCTGGGAACATTGATGGGCCTGCATCTTCTTCCTCAACTCCTACTAATGCATGATAACTTTGAAAATTTTGGCTCAAGTGATTCAAAATCGGTGTAAGTTTACGACAAAAATAAGAGATATTTAGAGGGTTTTGAGGGATGTTTAGAAATTGAGATGTCATATTTAGTATTGTTGAGATAGATGTTTAGGTGATGTTAGATGTGATAATCCATCAAATATGTTCGCTTGCTCGTGATTGGTCTAAACGCGTCGCGTGACTGAATATTCCTCTGCTGAAACTGGAGAGTATCCGAGGCATATTCTCCAATTTTCAAACCCGCGCGTGTGGAAAAAAATATTTGAAGGCTAATGAACCCAATGGCCTCCATTTGGCACGAAAATATACTCGAATATTTGTCCTGGGACATTATCTGTTCCTCGAAACTAGCTACGCTCTCGGAAAACTGTTCGCTTCTCCGAGCAGATAAGTCCGCGGACAAATATCCGAGCATATTTCCGGGCTAAATGGAGGTTATTGTTTCTATAATCCTTAATGATAAGCTATTCGGTCTCATGTAAAATGTGGTATAACGTCAGAGCGTTGCTATGGTTTCTCAGATCTTGATAAAACGTATCTGATGTGATTTAAACTCTCATCTTTCTCAAATACACCAGAAATGTTCGATTTTCGGTTGGATTGATAATTGAAGTGCTCTAGTCGCGCAAAGTTAAACAGTATTGTTACTCAAAATTCCGATCGAGTCACCTTACAGGCAAAGCAAAATGGCACAAAAGCAACTTTTCTTTAGACACTGTGGTAAAACTTGAAACAAATTGCTTGGGACTTCACGAACATAAGAAATACCCTTGTAAAAATTTAAAGACACAGTCTCGTCCCAAAGCAGCGTGCCCGAATTGCAATGAAAACTTAGTTTTTTCTTTTTTTGATTTACAGAGGACTCCCGATAACTCGAACCTCGCTTTAACTCGAACTAAAATCAATTTCCTTTGGATTTCCGTCATGCATTTATTGTAATTTTACCCTCGGCAGCTCGAACCATCGGTCATCTACATCTACATAAGGGGGGCCCTGTAAAGGGATATACCCATCACTGGAAGACTAAAGGGTAAAAAGAGTGGGGGAGATAAAAAACGTGAAAAATATGTCTGGATTTATGAAAATCGTGCTAATTTCAACACAACCACCCTGGCACTTTTCCAAGGAAATACACAGGCTTTTTGACTCTATCAATCACAGGCAGTCTGTCACTACACAACCCACTCACCCACCTTGCTTGTGACTGGCTGCCAGCCCCTACGGCTGCAGGGCATGGGTGGCCAAAGCTTGTCCTGCCAAGGAAATGACCACTTCAAAACAAAATTGCGACTCTCTGTCATGCACCCCAACCCCCTGGGGTTAGACCATGGGGGTCCCGCTTGGATTCGGCCGGTAGCCAGACACCTGGCATGTCTGCCCCAACCCTCCTTGACGGAAGCCCCCAGGGATTTCAAGCACAACAAAGGCCTGCCTACCCCAAATTTGACACGATTTCATAAATACAGACATATATACATACCTGGTAACTCGAATCTCCCGCTAACTCGAAGCAATTTTGGTTTCCCTTAAGGTCATTTTCTATATCATTTTACCCTCGATAACTCAAACCTTATTTGTCAATACGTAACAACTCAAAACAAAAAATTCAATGCGAACTACTTATTAACTGACAGTGAGGTCTTTACGGAAAAATCTCAAACTGAGACCTGGTCAATACAGTAAGGTCGAGGTTTGAGGTTTTCTCGTTAAGACCGAACGTCCGAGGTTAATAAGTTTTTTAGTATATGGTTTTTTGCTTTGTCTTTGCAGGCCCGAAAACGGCCCGTGGGCATTACGGGAGAATAATGGCCAATCAGAGTTGGCCAGTCAGAGGGCGCGTTATATCGGCTACAAACACAATCCACATAATAAAGTATTTCACTTAACGTGGAACATACGCTTAGCTATATGGTTTAGTTTAAAAGACTGCCCCAGCTACTTTACAGATATGCCACGAAAAGTATATAAATAAGGAAACAAACATACAGTACTGTTGTCCAACACATTGAAACTACTTCTCCTAACAGTAAATCACATGAACTTTGTGGCAGTTCACAGTACCTAGACTTCGCCTGCTGCTTTTCTTTGCAACAGAATGGAATGGAATAGAATGGAATAGCATAGATAACTTTATTTATACACGTTAAAAACATCAGGCCTTAATTACAAGTAGCTGTTTTCAATTTTCGTTGAACATCTAGTTCTTTTCCCAGCCAAGTCTTTTATTATACGTTTTGATTTATACAGTAATTTGGACACATATTGTTCCATCTTCACGCGACTTCTCTATAATTAAATTTAACTAAAATGTACGCTGTATGAATAGAAATTCATTAACCTCAGTTTTTTCCTTAGTTCCGATTATTTGTTCTCAACTCACGATAACTCAAACATTTTTCGATTTCCCTTGAAGGTTCGAGTTATCGGGTGTTGACTGTACAATTATTGGAGCGTGTTTTGTCAGGGCCACCAAGATTTTGGGTAACCTTTTTTGCTTTGCAACATTCGAGTTGGGCTACAGTCAGCCCACGGTCTTAGCAACCATTTTGCCGCACACTTTGGGTAGCACACAGGAGACTATCGGTGCTGTTATAGCTTTGGCAATCATTTTGCCCACGAACAACAAAGTAGCCAGATATTCTATTGAAAATTTCGTCCACCAAGCATAGACACCAAATAGCTTTTCTAGATACCTTCCAAAGCATGGTCCGGCGAGTTGAAAAGGCTGTTGCCAACCACTTGCGTCTCGAGAACTCCAACTAGGGCAACCTTGTCGCCAATGTCGATTATTTAAACGGGCACCTGGGACAGACCCATCTCCAGAGCTGTGACTCAATTTAGCTAAGAAAGGTATAAAGGGTCGTAATTCGGAGATTAACTGCTATTTCGGTAGCAAGAAGTGCCTCAGGAGGATTTCACCCTCACTTCGCCCCCCGTCCTTCCCGATAGAGAAGGGGTTGTAATATTCCAAGTATGTTTGTCAGGTTGCTCCGTCACGTCTCTCGCCTGCGTGGAGATAAAAAGTGGGTCAACGCGCCTCCCACAACACAGGTATAGTCACATGATAATTATATTATCACCAACTCATTAACATTGTTTTGTTGTCGCTGTCATACTATTAAAGTTATTCTCTTATTTCTCTCATATTGACCAAACTACAGTGGACGTCCTGCCTGCCTACGTGATTTAATACAACTCAGGAATTCGTCTTATAACTATAGAGGTAACAACATTCTTAATCTCCCTAAGGTACACACCACTAAGTACGGCCTTAAGTCATGGCGATACTTTGGATCCAAATTATGAAATAAGCCCTTTGCACGATCCGGTCACATGGTGCAAAATCACACATGCTGGGACGCACGTCGGACAGTGGAACTTCCAAAACAAAGGCCGGGCAGGGTGGACTGGTACGAGTTGCTTTGTTTTGGAAGTCCCACTGTGCAAATTGCGTCCTAGCATGTGTGATTTTGTACCATGTGACCGGATCGTGCAAAGGGCCTATTGCCTCCTGGACTCGATCAGATCCTCGTCCAGCTAGAACTGCATTAAGTGACGTGGACCACAGCTGCCATATGTCAACTTATTTTAACAATTTATTTCCTTTCACATCTTACTAATGCATGGTTTTTATCTGTGCAATTTTATACATTTTTAATATTCTTATACATTTTTACATATTTTATAGTAGTTATATCAGCTTAGTTTAGTTTAATATTTATTCCCAAATGTACATTTTTATTTTGTTATTTTGTTTTCTTTGCGCACCTGTAAACTAGCTGGTGAGTCAAGTCTGCTTATCAAGCCTATCCGTTAGCATAGCTGAGTGTGCGACCAGTTAAAATAAACTATGTCTATCTGTTTATGTCCAGAATGACAAGCGAGGCAAGAAATTTTGGAGGTAGCCTACGCCACATAGGTGACGAGCTTGACGAAGAACAAAGAAGACGACGAGAAAACAGGAGAATGGTCATTCGAATTACAACAATGTTATTCCAGTTATTCGGCTTTTATTATGTGTTTCTTAGCTTTATGGTTAATGCACCCATATACATTTTCAAAAGCATTTTTAAAGTTGCCCACAATTGGAGCTTCGAAATCCGATCTGACGACGCTCAAAACCCTAGTGGGAAGAGTCGGCAAGGAAGAGGACCGCAAACTTAACCGTCGCGCTTTGGGACAAGCTACAACCGTCAAGGACTTTGAGAAAGTCTAACTTCCTATTGAAAAAGATAACGAACACGTTTTTTTTTATCAATTTGCCTTCTGGTTATTCACTTTCACTGTTTGACAGTTTTACGTAAATAATGTAATTTGTGATGATCCCTAATTAACATAAATTACTATGTTTAACTGGGATACCCTAAAACCTCAAGGGTGACACCGCTGCCTTGGTCGGGGGCCACGTTCTCTTATTTTTTCCTCCAGCTTTGCTCGGGGTTTTCGTGCCCGGCTTTGGTGCACTTAGCTTTCTCACTTCATTCTTAGTTTGCGGATCTTTGTAACATCTGTTGACATTTAAAAAGTGGCTCGCTGGCTTGATTGGCCAACACGCCCAGTTTAATCACGATGCGTGTCCGGATGAGTAGCGGAGGTAAAACATTTCTGTGTAATAGGTCTATGTCGAGTTGACGAAAAATAGCTTGTAAATAGTAATAAATTAATTATAGAGTGTAGATTATAGTTCATAGATTAATGAAAAATAGATTGTAAATATTAATACATGGATTATAAATTGTAGATTCAGTTATAGTTCATAGATTAACGAAAAATAAATTGTAAATGATACATAGATTATAGATTGTAGACTATAGTCCATAGATTAACGAAAAATAGATTGTAAATATTAGTACATAGATTATAGATTGTAGATTATAGTTTATAGATTAACGAAAATAGATTGTAAATATTAATACATAGATTATAGATTGTAGATTATAGTTTATAGATTAACGAAAAATAGATTGTAAATATTAATACATAGATTATAAATTGTAGATTCAGTTATAGCTCATAGATTAACGAAAAATAGATTGTAAATAATACATAGATTATAGATTGTAGACTAGTTCATAGATTAACGAAAAATAGATTGTAAATATTAATACATAGATTATAGATTGTAGATTATAGTTTATAGATTAACGAAAAATCGATTGCAAATATTAATACATAGATTATAGATTGTAGATTATAGTTTATAGATTAACGAAAAATAGATTGTAAATATTAATACATTGATTATAGATTGTAGATTACAGTTTATAGATTAACGAAAAATAGGTTGTAAATATTGATACATTGATTATAGATTTTAGGCTATAGATCATAGATTATAGATTGTAAAAATACTTTAAAATTACTTCATCAGTAACGTTTGGATGAAGGACTTTATACAAATAATGGGATATTCATGAGATCACTGTGACTGACTCATGACTTTTTGGATATTATTAAGTTTAAAATTAGGGAAGCCAACTCACCACGAGATAATCTATGTCTTTAGATACAAGTTTCTTTCATGGCCGGTGAGCTTTCTCATGCATCGCAAGCTGCATGCCAGTAAGTAAGTAAGTAAAACATTTATTTAATCACGATAAGGATTTAAGCTTTACAGCTTGTGGGATCCTTAGTAGATAAATAAATTAAATAAATTGAATATGTGAATGAACAATAGTTACAGGATAAGGCTCAAGAAACCTGAGTACAAACGTGAAAAGGACATTGTCACAACATAAAATTCTATCTGAACTATATTTGTAGTTGATACATAACTAATAATTGATAATGTTATTTAGCTAAAAACTTCTCATAAGGAGCAAATACTTTCTACAGTATAAGTTGGCAAAGTCAATGTCCTTGACCAAGTACCTATCTTAAAGTAACTAGTATACAATCCTTAGTTTCTTTTGCTTACCTAGTTTAGGTGACGTTGTAACTGTTGAGTAAGGGCCGAACGACTTAAGTTGGTGTTATTTTGTTGTTGTTCTATTTCGCAGCCATCTAAGCACTTGCCGTAATACTTTTCGTTCCGCTTACCTCTCTACTAACTTGCTTATTCTAACACACCTACCTAGCTATCTATCTTCCGATCTACCTACCTACTTTCCTACTGCTTGTCCAGTCATCTACCTAGAGGTCTACCTATCCGCTGGCCTAACAATCTATCTATGCACCTTCCCACCTATCCGTCCACCGTACTTATGGGTTGAGAGAGCACGGTGTCTTGCCCCACAACACTAGTAAAGACTTTAACAAGTTCCGACGACGACCCCCTACCCCTTCTGATAATAGTACCTGAACCTTTTTCTCAACTGACTCACGGCTCGAAATATGACGCCAGTAGAGGGGCGCAAAGACCGCACTTAGCTCTGCCGAGAAATGGTGGAAAATTCGAGCACCACCAATTCCATAATTTCTGTTTCCTATGCGGTCTGAAGTGAACATAGTCATATAATGATGGCTAATCTGTAGCGACTATTTGAGCACAAACTCAGTTGCTCTGTCCCTTATTACAGTACTGCTATTACAGTAGACTGTGAGTCGTCTCTCTTTTCCTCGAAAACCGTGGGGAAGAACGCAAAACAAGTAAGCGTGCGAGCGTGGCTGTTAGCGTGACTAGTAGCGCGGGCGTCTTCTTCACAGCGATGTCGCGAGCCGCTAGTGACGCGGGCGTCGGAAGTGCTGCCATGTCAATCGACCCATACCTCTTTTCGCCCCTGTTGCCTCTCCATCCGCCCGACTATTAAACAAGAAAGTGAAGTTATATACTCCTAGTGCTTGCTACAACGGTTTAAGGTAAAACAAGAAGATTCTTGCCCTTTATCATTACGCTATATTTTTAGTATCTATAAGTCGTTTTGTGAAGAAAGTAACATCGACGAAGGAAATTAAATTATATGTATCATTAAAAGTACAGCTATGAAATCCTGGACATTCTGAGAATGGCAGGGAAAATTACGGTTGAAGCCGGTAAGAAAAAGACAAAAGAGGTGTAAGTAAATGAAAACAAAGCGTAAGCATTATTGATATTCGGAAGGATTGAGACAGATTACAAACAACAAACTTAAATAACCTCCTTTCCAGGCATTTTCTTGAAATTCAAGGGAAAAATGCCCCGAGAATGAGGTCATAAACTTTACACGCTTTGCTTGATTTTTCAGTTTATGCCATGCGCTACAAAGCTCCTTTAATACTCATTGAGAACTTGCACGGACAGTTCTTTGGTGCTGTGTATTTATCTCGCAAAAATGATATATAACAGATGTTAATCAAAAAAATTCTAAAAAATTTTTTTAATAAGGAAAGGGTGAATATAACTGTCATATTTGTAGGCAGGTTTTCAAACATGGATTTACTTCTATCCGCAATGGGTCATAAAATTGTGTGTTTTTTCGTAAGATGAACTTCAGGACTTGATAAACCAAACAATTAACAAGAGATCATAATTTACTCCTTTAGTTTGCATTTCTGAAAGCCATTATAACAAATATGATGTCATTAAAAAAATTTCAAGAAAAGGTAATTGCAGTTTGTATTGTATAATGATCGATTTTTACATCAAATATTAATTACCAGCCTGAACATAGCACGAAATGTTTTCTGCGTTGTTTAATTTCCTTTGAGAGGGTCCTCCGTCAGACAAGTCGTTTTATTTGTGTGAAAAATACAAAAACCATGATTTCTTTGTCGGTCACATTTTTCATCTGCTTTCGCATCCTATTTTCAGTAGCATTCATTGGTTTCACGTTCAATGACAGACTCCTTCCAAACAAGACTTTTGAAAGCTTTTCTACAATCGATTGGTTGCAGTGTGTCAAGGCTTGCCAGGCAAGTCCCAGATGTATTTCCTACAACTATGACGTCTGCAACGACAAATCGTGTTTTTTGAACGAGTGTGGATTTTGCGATCGTTGCGAAGCTCTCAGAAACCTTGTCGTGTCACCTGGAGCCATATTCCATCAGTTAAAGAAGGTACTTAATAACTCATTCTGCTCGTTTCAGTCACCGGCTGAAACAAAACTTATTATTTGGTATATACAAACAAAACTACTCATTCTATACAACTTGCAATGGAACTGTGAAGATTCAGATGATTAATTGGAAGTTAGACGATTTCATGCTTTACAGCAGCATGCACTAAGTTGCGTCAGTAGATTCATTTTACGTCGCAATACATTGCGAATCAAACCTGTAGAGAAAAAAGTCGCTAATAATAATGTTTTGACTGAAATCAGTTAACAGTTTCTTACCCTAGATTATGCGGATTATTTTGTGTGTCGATGACAAGATTTTTACTTTTTTGTTAAGTCTTAAGTATCTTAAAGGTAGTCCCTATTGGCTTCCTTGCCTTATACATTGGTACTCTGCAAATGTATTTATGAATGGCAAAAATACATGTAAAACAAACAAACGGACACGCGCGAGACAAAACCATTTCACCAACGCTGAATTATCGCTTTACCGTTTTCGTGTCCATTTGTTGTTGACTTCAAATACGTTTGGTGCAGTTTGCCTGAATTTAATTAAATTTTTGCCATTTTGATTTGGTCTTATGCTAGTTTAAGACAAAATTTCGTAATTCAGTTATTTGGTCACTTTGTGTCTAAGGCACTTTGAAATTTGGATCCGAAGAACAAAAAACGATCTTTTTAGACAATTCATCCAGCTCTTTCTCTTTCATAAAATCATTCAGTTACACCAATAACTGTGAAAAATGAACAAAGCCTTGATGATAATACTACTGCTCCTGATAATCTTTGTCCTTTTTAATTATAATTAAAGGACATTAATGCATAGTATAAGACTTAACGATTTTAAAATGAGTGTTGAATGTTTGTAGTCTTTTCTCTTGAGCCTAGTTCACACTAGCGACATAACGACATAAACATAACATAAGGACGACGTTATATTTGCAGTGTGAACATCCTGACATAATGACATAATAACAATACCGCAACAGCATGAACATAAGGAGAAAACTGATCTTTTCCTTATGTCTTTATGTTGATGTTCACATTACCGGCATAAGCAATTATGTCGTTAATTATGCCATTATGTCTGTTGCTAGTGTGAACCAGGCCTTAGCAAACTGCAAATGGGGCAACCTGTGCTTTAAATTCTCGTTAATTTCTTTTTGCAGGCATCAAATGAAACGTTATGTGACCTTTCAACATTAACGGAAAAGCTTCCCGTCACAAGTTCAGGTAAAAGCAAATCCTCTTCTTATTAAAACAAAGTCACATGTACTCAAACGGTTGACCAAACCCATTATAACGCGAAGAAAGAGCTTGTGAATAGTGTCAAGAACGGGAAAGGCAAGTTATATCGCCGGTTCTCATTCACGTTTGTAATTATGTCTTTGTTTTAATTTTATAGAAGAGAACGAAAGTCCAGAAGTCGTGATAAAGCCTACCAAGTGCTCATTTGAAAAGAATATTTCTCACGGTAAGATTTTATCTCCATTTCTTTCATTTCAAACGTTGAGTTTCTCGTGTATCCATTCTGATTCCGATGCTGAATATTTTTCTCAGTATTCGTCCTGAAGAGTTTCCGACTCTACTTGCCCAATCAGAGGCAGCACGAGGAAAAACCGGCACACGCTTTGGGCGTCCGAGGAGGGGGCTATTTCAGTCCGAGTGCACATATCTTGACATTAGGAGGCAGCGTGGCTGAGCGGTCAGGGCACCGGACTTGAAATCCGGAGGTCACCGGTTCAAGTTCAGCTCTGACCACTAAGCTGGATTTGTTTCTTGGTAGACCCTAGAGCAACTCCTCGGTCATGCTTGTAAATAGCCAACTGGTCCGCCTCCAGCCAGTTGAAAAAACATTTATTTGGAATATTTCTTTCTTTCAGTTTAAGTTGCATGCCTGAGAATTAGCTAATTGTAGCTAAACCCATCGACCACTATAAACATTCAACATTTAACATTAGTTTTAACGCTTCAGGCCTCCGCGGTGTGGCTCTTTTAGACCGATTGCAGATATTATTTTAGCATTGAGGGAGTGGAAGGACATTACACTACTTTTGTTTCCGTAATTTACTCTATGTTGTAACAAATTTTAATTCCTTTGCTTTAGAACATCTTCTGTACAACGTGACCATTTGCGACAACAGGGAATATGTCCTTAATGCGTGTTCCACGAAGAATCCAATACAACAGATATCTGTTCGCCACGTGGAGTGCACGTGCTCGTGTGAGGCGTGCAAGACATTGCACTTGCCCAGTGCGTGCGTGTCACCCGAAGTGATCAAAGAAATTTCAGAGAAATGTGAAGGGAAAGCCTCGTGCAAAGTGAAACGACCAGATGTACTTTGCGACTCTCAACGCGTAATGGCGATTCACATATCCTATGTATGCGACAGCCAGAACAAGGAACAAGAGGGGCGTAAGGAGGAAAGTGACGAAGAGGATGACAAAGATTATGAAGAGAGTGACGACAAAAATGACGAAGATTACGAAGATGACGACAAAGATGACGAAGATGAAAAAGATGACGACAAAGATGACGAAGAAGATGGCAAAGATAACCAAGATGACGAAGATGACAAAGATGACGAAGAGGACGACAAAGGTAGCGCAGATGACGACAAAGATGACGACAAAGATGACAAAGATGACGAATTAGATCACAAAGATGACGACAACGATGACGAAGAGAATGACAAAGATAACAAAGATGGCGAAAAGTATGACGAACTGTATGGCAAAAAAAATGAGAAATAAGATGACAAAGAAGACTGAGAGGGAACAAAGACACTAACTACTAACATTAAAAGGTTGACGTAACTGAATTCTAACTTGAGTTATAGTACCAAGATTGAAAGGAAACGGTACAAAGTTCTTATCTTCACAAACGCTGACAGACAGGTCAAAGACGCTACAAATTTATCATTTCTACATGTTTAATTTTCAATAAATTTATGTTAATAAGGAGATAAAACACCACTGACATAAATAAAGATTGCGTTATTTTTGCATCATACAAAACGGAATAATTTCTTAATTTACGGCTACTCGCATAATCCATAAAATTGGACCAAATATTATCTTTGTGCGAAAAATTTATCCAACGATTAATTATCAATCTCGCTCCACAGTGAGTCCAGGGACTTCCATATCTTGCCTTTTATTGTAACTAGCTCCTTCCCAGAAAGCTGAGAACGATTCTACTGCTCTTGTACATTATTGCCTTCTCCGCGAAATATCTTTAGCTTTCAATTCCAAGTTCAAAAAATGCAGTTTTCATATTTTGTGGTGTAAACTGTTTCCACCAATATTGAAGCTATATCCCTCATTGTAGGACTAGAAGTTAGTTTACTGCGAGGAAGCTGGTTAGCACATGTTGCCCGCATGCGCACAAGCGAGGTTTCTCTTTTTCCTCTCCCACCACACATATTATGATTCCATTCAAAAGAAACATGTAAAATTGCCTGCTCTACTGGCTGATTAGATGCTCATTTTTTGTCAATCTTCAGACCTCGGAATCGTTTTTAGTTTTGTCGAGGTTGTTACAGTCATTCAGTATAACATCCGGGAGATTAGGCTGTGAAGCACTCTCACAAGAACACGTCAAACCGGTTTCAACTGGTACAATGTCCCTCCTGCTTTCCTCGGAATTCTACAAGCAAAAAGAGAATTTCACGAGTTAAAAAATAATCGCTGCATTGAAAAGCTAATCTACAGTTACTAACTTGCCATTTTGGAAAAATACAGCCTTTATCTTTTATCAGCGACCTGTGTGAATATGTTTAATTACACAGCCATCAAATTATTGCAGTATTTACTTTTGGAAATACAGCCACTTGGCATTGTTTACGGAATGACTCATTACTCAGTCTGTAAACCAAGCCTTCGTTATTGAAAAAAATGCTTTGGTGTTTGTTTGTGTTATAGATTCTGATCATGATATTCTAAATGAATCAACAAATCTTTGCATGCAAAACTACTTTGCAAGAAAAACAGATACCACTCCGCAAGTTGTCGAATTTAATTCACAACCAGTCTATTCTGTCGTAATTTTTTAAGTTACCTGTATCATTTCTGGTTCAAAGTTTTCTAGCTGATTTCCTCTATAAATCAAACTCTCGGCTGTTGGTGTTGTCGGCTGATTCTCGGTTCCCTCATTATTCTGCACACAATCATCTTCTGCAAGTTAACAGACATACGTAATGTTAAAATTAAAATTTAAGGACTTTTCGTGACTGCTATATGACACCCTACCACGCCCCGCACCCAAACTTTGCAAAATTGCATTGTTCATGTCAACAATATGTATAAGAAAAAAAGAAGAAACTTCAGTTTTCCTTAAAAAAATTAAAGACAATGCATGGAAAATAAGGACATATTTGTGACTGCTAAAAGAAATGATTGTAATCCCCGGGAATTTTCCAACGATTACATGTACAAAACCATACAATCTACCAAATTGAGTCTCTAAATATGATCTTGCCCGTATGACTAATTTTAATGACGCCACTTTTCGGAAATCGCAGCCGAGTACGGTAACGTTTCAAACCAGTTTCCCTCTCACCTACTGTTCCATACATCTGACTCATTTCCATTGGTCGGTTTAATCCTTCTCGTAAAGTAACGTCATCTTCGCCAGTCACTATGTTTGTCCTTTTTTGAATGGAGGTATGAGTGGCCTGAAATGGTCATTATATACGTTAGAAAAAAAACAGTTGATTATACCATATGGAAGATGACTTAAACTCTTCCTTTAATCCTGTAAGAAGGCAGATGGTGGTAATCGAAATATAATTCTCTGTTGAAAGAATTTCCTTTTTACCCTCTTTCCTTTATTACGTGGGTTGCTGAAGCGCTGATTATGGATCAATGATCTAAGGGGAAGGAGCACTGGCTCCCGTTTTTGTTTTAAATGTCAGGTTCAAAGCCCGAAAATTGTTCGTCTCCTCCCTATAGTTTTTACCTAAGAAAGAGGCTCAGCTCGGATTTCAAACGGAAAGGTTAGGCTCACCATCGCTTCACACATTTCATACATCATATTTCATACATTATGACCATTGTATGTAATGTAACGAATGTCTAAATTCATGAAAACAGTGTTACAGAAATCGCGCCCTGCTCAATCTCCAAAGTAAACGATGAAAAAATTAAAAGGAATGCCAGTCTTTTTTTCCACCACTCTTTTATCTTCCTTTCCCTTTCATCGTTTGGAGTGATTTTAAGTTTTTTAGGAGTCGTGAAATCAAAGTGAATATGGACGACTTAGTGCAAAGTATTGACATGGTTTTCATAAATCCAGTATTAACGATGTTATATCAGGAGAGCTCATCATTAGGAGCGTACAACTCTCATACTAAGCCTTTGTCACGGCATTTTCACATACCGGTCTATTTTTAGGCTTCTTTTCTCTCGAAATAGGTCAGTTCCGGCTTACATGAGCGCGCATCGGTAAGGAAAAAATAGCTTACCTCACATCCGGACCCCATCACTTTTTCCAGTGAAATGATGACGTCAGTTAAAACTAAGTTCGTGCTTGTGATTGGTCACTGAGGTTCCTGCGGGNCGACGTCAGTTAAAAATTAAGTCCGTGCTTGTGATTGGTCACTGAGGTTCCTGGGGGGTCTGAATTCGCGGTAAAATCAAACTAAAAATGGATCGGTCTGTGAAAACGCCGTGACAGGAATAGTGATGGGCTCCTGATTATATCCAACTAGACAAAGCATTGCATACCTTTGAAGAGTCTATATTTGATTGTAACGTATTTCTTCTGTTTTTCCCATGTCGTTCCTCCCACGTTCTAGAACGACTACATGAGTCTGATTTATTCCACAAGGGACGACCTGTACCGTAGGCCTGCGAGCGTGTTTGACAGCGGATTATGCGTAAATACTCTGCGCGCACCTATAAAAGGAATGGCAAGAAAATACAGGCCAAATTTGGTAACATAAGTTCATGATTATTCTTCAGTCCATTTAGCGTGTTAATAAAAATTATAAGAAAAGTGATCTTTCTGAGACTAAATTGCACAGGATGAAAGAAACATTTGCGAAGCATAGGCGAATTAAGTGATATCTGAATGTAAATGGTCTTACCTTTTCATCCCCGACACAGTGAAAGAGAAATATCAAGAGTCCCTGGGAACAAATTATCATTCAGTCAGAATAGATGATTTCGTCTGGCAAGAAATAACTAGCGACTATAAACAAATCATAATGCTGCATAAAGGGCAAGTGAACTTAAAACTTCCAACCTTCAGCCAGAATTTGATAAAGTGAATTAACAGCCATGGCGAATTTGAAAAGCTGACATGTTGATCGTTCTTCCTCCAACAGAGGGTTAAGCTAGACACGTCAGCTTTTCAAAATCACTTCCGTGGTTACTTAACCTCCACGTTGAAAATTAACTCGGTGCTATAAGGGATCACATACTGTGTGTATCATCATTTCAACAACATGCCATTACTGTTGAAGTAAAATGGCATTTTTTGTAATAATACCTACCTGTAGCGTGTTAAATATGTTAAAGAGGTAAGCCATAAATATGGTATCTTGATTGACTACAAATACTCCAACAATCCAAGTCAGGCCAAGAAGACAAGAAAGTAGCGCACAGCCCTTAGACCAGTACCTGTTGTACACAAAGAGAATTATCTCATGTACTTTGATTGATTTATCGACTTAAGTCGTTGTATGATATTTTCCTGGTATAAACCCTGGGCTTATGAAACTCTTTATAAATATTTCTGCTTGGGGTTGTTAACGGGGAAGCATATATTGTATTATGAGAAACCCACTGTAATCTAAGGTTTCTATCTACTATTTATTTTATGAATGCACTATTTTTAATTAGTAGAATTCTACTAGTATACTAATGCAAATGCTGTAATCTGATTGGCTTAGCCATTGAACGTTATCAGCCATTAGTGTACAGTGGCTGGAGGTCGTCTAGAAAATGGCGACGTTTTTTCGTTTTTCCAAAGTTTTGGAGAAAACTTTTGATGCAAATGGGTAATTAAATTCCTGAGAAGTCTAAACGAAAGACATTTACGGTTTCTTGACTTTTAAAAAAGTTGAAATTATTGAAAAACTGATGCGCGCGCGTACACAACTTCAAATTCAAATGACAATTCAATGCGAGCGATCTTTTTCAGGCGCAAAGATTAATAATACGTCAAGACATAACTTGAAACCGTTATTTGAAGTAAATTTTAGTAAGAATTCTACTCAAACAATGAGATTATTCGTTCTCGATTTCTATGAGGTGATAGTTGATGAGGCCTTCGGCCTCATCAACTATCACCTCATGAAAATCTCGAGCTCATAATCTAATTGTTAAATAGTGCAATGTTCTGTGAATACAATTCTAATGAATGGGTTAGGGCTTATATTCAAGTGTACCTGGTAAACGGAATATTTCGTTAACAGGAAGATGGACCTGTGTTCCTCTAACTGGGGAAGGATTTATAATTAGGGCAATTATAGCCGTTTGCGCCCTTGTGTACCCATAATCCTGCTCTCTGTCTTACCTTATTTTCTCGATGCTTGTGTCGCTATCCTTTATGCTTCCTCGACTTGACATGATCATAAACGTCTTCCCCAAGCAAATCAAGTTCAACTGTAAAAACAGTTATAACACATGGTGAAAAATATGTAATGTTAACTAAACTGTCAATCTGTCCTTCGGAGCTTCCCGTTCAAAGCTGTTCAGGGTTGTTTTGGGTTGTCAAATTCACTATTGATGTTTCAAAGAAGACGCACACTTACCAAACACACGAGAAGTACCGGTCCTACAAAGGCCCAAGTAAAATGCCTTTCGAAAGATAACCAGCAGCTGCAAGATACGAGCTATTTAATATTTAAACCGTAAAAGTAACCAGTCGAACTAACAGCTTTCCGACTAAACTAAGACGACGACCACAAAGCCCATTGAACTCTCCACGTTAAATAAACGTCTAATGGTCCTAGTTATCGATTCCATCTTAGAATGACAGGGATCAATAACTTTTACAGCTGTGTTCTAGAAGACAACGACTTCACAAAAATGTTACTTACAATTCTTCTGTTCCATAGCCTTCGTGAAACAACAAAGCAGACCCACCAACTATAATAGCTGGGACACCTGTGAAAGTTCAATAGACGCAAGGTTAAGAACCAACCATATTGTATTCCATTATTTGTCTCCTTGTCTTAGGTCCAATTAACTCTGATGGGGACTCCCATGTGAAAGGTCGGGGGTGCCCGTCGGAAAATTTGAATTAAACCTCCAAGGAGACCAATCTGAGCGTGGCTCGAACTTTTTTTTTTTTTTTTATCTCTTTAAGATGCCACTTAAAACGGAAATGACAGCGTTTTTTTATTATTTCTTCCAGTGCAACAGGATCGTAATCTCGAGTGCAACCTAAAAGATACCTTGACTTCTTAAACTAGCGTTTCGTCCAGAAAGTCCTCAGTCAGACCAAAACCCGCAATTTACACCCCTATTTGAGACAACACACATCCCCGACCTTTTCATATAGGAGTCCCATCACCCTCCTGGCCGGGACAATTGACTTTCTGACAACCGAGCTTTATATTGAAGTTCAACTGAGCTAGTACCGCATAAATTCTTGTTACTTGAATATGACGGTGATTCCGGGTCTTGCACATCAAATAAACACTCGTCTCTTTCGAGGTCGAACTGATAGGTTAACCAATAACGGTTGGCGCGAGGCTTACTGGAATGTTTTAGGGTGTTGGGTCCTTGAATCGCAACCGTGGGGCGAGATTAACTTCCACAGAAAAAGTATCAATCTTAAATTAAGTTTAATATATTACAAGGAACACTTACCCCAACCACACAGCATGAACACAGCTTTGTCTCTTGCTGACCGAGTCTTGGTGCGAAAGATTTTGACGAGCAAAAGGTAAAGGACGATTCCTTCAAGCGCCATCCAACAGAACGACGACAGGAATAGATAATGTAGCGTGATAGCGATTGTTTTACAGACAATCTGCAAGAAAGAGAATTGTTATTATTGTAGTTATTAACAGCGACGATCAGTTAACACCGGACAAAATCCACTCGAATTTGTAGTAGAAGTTGAAAAAATCGATTTGAAACAATCTTATTCAACCCAATCAGATGGTGGGAGAAACCTGCTGTGGTCAGAAGCTGTTTCATTTTGAGCAAATAAGGTTCACATGCTCAAAATGCCCAAATTTCGAAAGCCTGAAATCCTTGAGCTCGCGAACCAAACCTCTAAGAGAAAAGTATAGACACTTTCTACTGGCATAAAGGCACCTTTTTTTCGTAATCGCAACTTCGCTTCTGAGGGAAACTAGTAACTGCTCGTATTCTAGGGAACTGTTTTGGGATAATGCTGATGGGTTCTTTTTCAAAGTAAGTCTCATAGTTTTGACGATACAGCCATGAATAGATAGATATATTTAATACCTTGTTTTCAGTCTTGGTAACGCCGAACAGAAATAAAGTTTCCGCCAAACCGAGGGAAAGCGCCAAATTAGCATGAACAAAATAACGGTGACGAGTGTTTCTAAACCTGAAAGGCAAGACAAAATTTTTAAGCAGTCAGAATTTTGTCGCAATGTTTTGATATATAATATAGAGTATATCACAACAGTACCACAATTAGACTGAACTAATAGATGCGTCGTCTCTTGCTCGAGAAACAGCTAAGATTCGACCTGAAAGTGATAATTATGTCATAACTGTGAAGAGATGGGTATAGTGTTGCTGAATGGCTGTTAAGTGCGCACGCGCGAAGATTCACAAGCGAGTAGCAGTTCTCACCTTAAGAACGCGAAGGTGAGAAAAGATATGGACAAAGCCAGGATGGAAATGGAGATACCAATGTACGAAATCAGGCTCAATGCAAACTGGTGTTTCTTCTGTTGATAAAATGTTAAGACATTCATCAAATATTCAAAAAGTTTCAACTGACAGATAAGCTGCGTAAACAGACACCTTGACTCTAAAACTTTGGTCTCAATGTCGTGGTTCAAAGATGTCATTGTCTTGAACTAGGACTCAAAGCCAGTCTCACTGTAATTTTTGTCCTTTTCGGACCTTTAGGCTATGATAATCAATACGAGACGAGCGAATAACAAATTCTAACCTGTTTTAAACATTTTAACTGACCAAACTTAACGCCACAAAATCAGTGGTTGACAGGTGAAGCTCAATTAAAAACAATGTTGATTAAATAACAAGAATCTGGAAGTCCAATTGCGCCTACAGAGATTTCAAAATAAATGGCATTTGCTACTTGATAACACCCGTGAGAACTTACCATTACGTCATTGTCTGGTATGTCGATTACGCGCATGAGCACAGCAAAGCTTGTCAGATGGTAGCACTGGCACGTGGTATGACTGGAATTCCTCTTTGTCAAATGACAGCCTGCTTCTGACCAGAAACCGCGAGGACTACACAAACAAAAACTACGTCTAAATCATATCTACTTTTTGATTTAAAGATAGGGCTCTGTTTGCAACCGTTATTTTATTCGTTGTTGTCTTAAACAAAGCATGGGGATTTAATACGCCCTAAAAGGAGCTACGTCACGGTTTGTGCATCTTCAAAAATTTAGCCTATATAAATGTTTCAAGTTGGTCGTTTGTAATCCGTGTTAATCTTCTCCATCCGTAGTCATCCTTGTTCCTTTATGGTTTATTATTATCTCTTTAGTGTTTTTGTATCTTGCAAACATTTATTTTCGGTGTGTCTTCAATTTAAAGGTAGTTTTGTACGTGGCCAAAATAACTCAAAATACCGTGATTGGGCTCCGTTAAGTGCAAATTTAATCGAATAGAAGTGAACAGTTTTCTGATAACATACCTAGACGTGTTCCAAAAAACACAGCTTGCTTGACCTTTGTCGCTATCCTGCGAGATAGAAACAATTACAAGCCAAAGATGAAAAAATTGAGACTAAGCAAATAATTCAACGAAAAAACTACGCCAATGCTTTGACC